CCGGGGTCTCAGCTCTCTGCCTGCCCCCTGCGCTGCCATCCTCCACCGCAGCCCCTGCCCCAGCCTCTCCGTTAAAGAAATTGCAGGGAAGAGGCCAGGAGCCACCACGAACTCATTTGGCCAAGCGGTGTGGGGAACGTGCCTCCACCATGGGGACGCTGGTGGGGCCATGGGCAGAAGAGTACCCAAAGAATACGTGTGAGGGTTGGATGCCGCAGCCTGCGTGACGGCAGCTGTCCAGGGGGGCTGTATCCGCTCCCTTCCCAGGCCCGCATGGGCAGACCTCCCTGTGACTTGGGTGGGAAATGGATGGGGCTCTATCCTGCAGTGATTAATGACTCTTTGGCTTTGTTTGCAGCCACGACATCCTAAGCGCTGTACAAACACCGAAGAAAGCCAAGCCCTCAGCCCAGAGAACTCACACCCTGACAAAGCAAACAAAAGAGGTAACCAAGGGAAGCACTGTGAAGAGCAGCCGAGGTGGCTGCATAGGTATGGGACAAAAACCAGGATGTCCTGGAGCGCCGGGCATAAGTCGGTGTTGATCCTCTGGTGCAGCGCTGAGCCCTTGGTGAGGCACCACGTCACAAATATGATTGCACGCTGTGGTGACACGCAAATAAAGAAAAATCAGGAAACTTGCATTTCCCCAGAGCTGAAGCGTCACACCAAAACCCTGCTGCCACAGAGCAGACACAACAGCAGACCGCCCCGGGCGCCAGCACAGCCTGCAGAGCAGGGCTCTCCTGCAGCGCACCCTGCGACTTTCAGCCACTGCTGCTCATGGAGGTCCAACAACAGTCCTTCTTCTACTACATGAACTTTGGACCATTTTCAAAGAAGAGTAAGTCATAAAAAGGGGCAAGTTGTTGCAGGCAGGCTATTGTGTTGTACAGACCGAGGCCTACCCAAGTCCATAGTGCAACCTGGTTAAACAGCACTTAATTTTTGTATTGCGTTTATAACACACAAATATTTGCCTTTGCACTTTCCGTTGGTAATAATGAACCATTCTCAGAGCAGCTGCTTCTCCATGCAGGCAACAGCAACCAACGCGCGCTTAAGCCAGAGGATGAGCAGCTGCAGCAGAAGCCAGCACTGCCTGGCAAGTTGAGTTTCCATTGAAAGGAAGGGTGATGTGCAAGAAGCACGGTTGCAGCTGAGGATGTGATGAACCAGCCATCTCCGTTTCCCTCTTCTCCCCACTGCCCGCCTCCAGTAATCTAAACCAACAACTACCCCCTCTGAGCGTCCAGCAGCCTTTGCACTGCAGAGCAGCCCCTTGCAGCACAGGGCGTGGGATGGAAGGAGGTCTGGACTCTGCAGTCACAGAACGTGGTGGCAGGGACCCTCCGGTCACCGCAAACACCTCCTGGAGACGCAGTCATACAGGGAGGAAGTTGGCAGGGAGGAGCATCAGGAGGACAGCCTTGTGACAGGGGTTACACCTTTCTGTTGTGGCTACACGTGTACCTACTACAGTAGGGTCTTCCACTACTTGGACTCCAAGGGACAGATAGATGGATAAGCATAGCAAAGTGACTCAAATAGGATTCCTCTAAATAGCATTAAGGTATAAATGCCAGAGGGCACCACTTTGAGGTTTTCATGATTTTCTACGCTGTAGTTATGCACACATCCCTTTTACTGTCTGCACCGGTTCTTGCAGAGCGGTCAAATTACATCCCACTTTTCTAAGCTTGAGGGTGCTTGGGATGAAAGTAACAAGCAATAGAAACAGATCCTTACGGCCACAGTTAATCTCTCTGCTTGACCTGCACGTTTTTTTTTTCTTCCGGCACCGTATGAAGAAAGCCCTGTGCCATAAATTACATCAGTCAGTACCCTCGAGATGGCTGATAAGCTTTGACATCTACTGGCTTGTGAAATGTGGTGAAGGTTTCTTTTGGTCCCGTTTGTGGGAAAGAAGAAATTACATCAGAAGATGATGCTTAACATGAAAAGAGAAGAGGCAGAGGCTTCTTAAATTGTGGATTGGTTCAGTTTTATATGCATTATATTCCCTTTGTATGAGGTGCGCTAAGATTTTTCACATGTTCTGGGGGAAACAGCAAAGCTATGAAAAGCTTTCCAGTTTCCTTTGCAGGAACCGTTCCTGCAAGGGCATTTTGACAAGCAAACTAACTGAATTACAGTAACTTCGGAATGTATACTGTTAACAACAGAATAAATCCAGGAGTTTAGATATTGTAGTAGTTTTGCCCTACTGAGTGATTCCTTTGGCCCTGATCAGAGCAGGAATACTGGACCAGGAGAACCCACGATATAACACAGCATGGACATTTTTATGCTCTTTTTTCCCCTCTCATCATACAGACTGTGTATTTTAGGAAGTTAAAAGATAATCTGTATTTTGGCCAAAGTTTTTCTGTATTGCAAAGTATTCCAGATGCTTGCAGCAAGCGAACTTTCCCTATAAATTAAGTATTACGGAGTTGTGGAAGAACCCATCTCATTGCCACACAAGGGAAGAAGAGTCCTTGGCATTAAACCAGGCAACTGGTTTATTGCGTATTTGCAAATGCACATTCTCACAGACTTTAACTCCCATCTGATAGAAACATTTATGCCCTTCCCCAGTGTTAAGCAAGGAAAGGGATATGACTATTCTGTACAAAGAAGCTGAGCAGATCATGTCTCAGGAAGCAAAATACCGTGTCCTCTGACAGGAGCCCAAGACGAATCACTTGGAAAGATCATCTTGTGGCTGAAGCACAAGACAAGGAGGGCTGATCTCTGTTCCCAGCAGTTCTGCTCCACGCTCGGTGTGTGACCTAGAGCAAGTCACGAATTCTCTGTTCCCGTTTCCTCTTTGGTGAAAATGATGACGATGATTGTATCTATTCTCAGCAGAATTATGAGTACTCACGAACTTAGAGTTCCAAGTGTTTCTCATTTGTCGCAGGAAATACATTGCAAATATCGCTGCCCTACCGCTACCCCACCATTATTGATGCCAAACTAACACAAGTGCATCAGACAAACTTCAGCCCTACGAGACATATACTCACAATTTGTTCCATCAGAAAACAGCACTCTGATAAGAAACCACTGTTCAAATCAGTCAAGCAAAGGAGAACCTGAAAGGCTGGCTTGCCTTGCTTTCACATTCTTGACTTGCAGGTTTTGCTCACTGTTGCAGACAGGATATCAGATTAACGGGCTCTTTGACAAAGTAGGGCTTATCCTATGTAAACTTACACTACGACTTTCCTGGATCCCCCTACTATTTTGTACTGCTACTTGTCCAAAGCATTGGCTATGGAAAGCTGCACCATGTGCGACCACTTACAGACTCGGAATTAAGCACGTGTTGAATTCAGTGGAAAGTCTTTACACATCAGCCCCAAATAAATACAAGGTCCCTGTTTTGCATCCTTTGAAAGGCTATGAATTGAGAAATAATGAGGAGCTCCTCCTGGCTTTTACATCAGGGTACCCGAAACATGCTGGGAGCTGCAGTGTGGAAATCTGAATTTCCAAGGTTTGGTCAAGAGTTGAATAGGTTCCAAGCAGTGAGAAGATTCCAAAGGGAACAACTTCCCCAAACCCCAGTGGCTCCCGAAGGAAGCAGATATGTCATGGTTAGTGACCTGGAGCAAAGGTACGAAGAACATTGAGGTCTGCTCATCATTCTGCATTGATCACAGTCCTGAACACCAGGGCAGAAAAAAAAGAGATACAGAGGATACTAAGGAACAGGACAAACCACCTGAAAGCTATGACGTAAAAATCACTTTTGAAATATGCAGGCTCATTCATATACATATGGAGGACACCTGGAAAGCAGCAATTTAAGAGAAGCCTAAGGAGCGAGGGTGGACAGAATGAAACACATGTTTTAGAGGGGAAAAAAGGCCTGTGTGGTTTTCAGCAACATATTTAGGACCAGAGATCCAGAGAAAAGGCTCGCAGGACTATGCGGTCAGACATTAAATTGTAAGCTGTAGACAGCAGAGGGTTTTTTGTTTTGTTTTGTTTTTTTAATCTTTTTTTTTTTTTCCTTGAAGCTGCACCTTGCTCTCAGGGAACCCAGCCATGGCCCAGTTATAGCACTATGTTGAAGGAAGCACTTCAAATGACCCAACTAATCAAGAATAATGAGACACAGAGAAATACTAGAAGTTCAAATGAAAGAAATACAAATGGTAGCGAGGCTGCCAAACATCGATTATTGGAGAAAATAAAGTGCCTGTAGCGTGGGATTTGCAAACAGCCTGACAGTCTACAAGGGTCTAAATAACCTGAAGGGAGAGGAGTAATTTTTAAGCTGCGTAATTAGAAAAAGCAAAGCAAGATTCTGCAAATTTAAACCACTGGAGAAAACCCAACGTACACCATTCACAAGGCTCAGCAAGAGCTGGCTGTAGAAAAATGGTCTTTCTGAATACAGGGGAAGACCAGCAACGATCCCAACCGTAAAAGACGCTGACCATTAGCCACCTGGCATTGCACGAAGCTGCAGAAAGAGCACGCTCTGTTTGCAAACAACCGCAGAGCCCAACCTCGCTCAGATCTTTCCCCTTGAGAGGAAAGGGCTGCCCTTTCGGGGCAGCTGACCTGGGATGGGGGTTTGGTTCCCGGCTCTGTCATGAGCGGCACGTGAGCCTCCAAGCGAGTCACGTAGCCAGTCCGGGCTTCAGTCTTCCACCCGTGGACCTGGGGTGACAACGCCGTCCCAGCTCCTGGGGCTGCTGGGGGGTTGCCTGCATTCGGGATGGCAGGGGGGTCAGAGCGCGAGGGGGACTGCACCCCTCCGGGGGAGGCTGAAATGCTGTAGCCGGGCTGCGAAGACCATGCACGCTCGTCGCGCGTCTGAGGGACGAGCATGCTCACGCTCCCTTGAATAAAGCTGTTCGGTAGGGTGGAGTCTGCCTTATTTTTACTCTGCATGCAAATTATATCCCTCAACAACCTCACTGCAAATATTTTCTGGTTTCTCACACCCTGCCCTGGGCAGGAGCAGACTGTTTTCCCTGCAGATCCTCTGGCTTCCTTTGGAGCTTTGGGTTTGGGCTATTTTGATTTGAAAGAAATGAGAGAAGCTTGTGAGGCAGGGCGTGTTGCAGCAGAAAAACAAAAAACACAACCCAAACAACCAGACGGAAAAAAAAGGCAGGCGAAGCTGTTCTGCTACACCCTGCTCTGCCGGTGCCAGCGGTGCAAGATGCCACGGGCTCCGACTTCGCCGCCTCCTCCGAGCGACGGGCGAAGCGGCAAA